TATTTAATTTTATTTATTCATTCATTTACTTTAATTTGACCAGAGAGGGACAGAGTGAGAGAGAGTGAGAGTGCGAAAGCAAGCCACCAGGTCTGGGACTCGAACTATTGTTGGCCATGTGGGAGTCCAGTGCCCTTAACCACCATGTCACCTGCCAGCTCCAAGTTCTGTCTTAAGTGCCTGAACTCTGACTCAAGTATCGCACTGGCTTTCCTCTGACCCAGCCAGACCCTCTCCTGACCTGGACTTTAACTCTGATTCTGTCCCTGAGCCTCAGGCTGCATTTTCTTTTAATGATGAAATATATATAACTTTTGCCATTTTTACTATTTTCCTATGTAATTATTTTATTTACTTATTTATTTATTTTTAATTTGTTATAAGGCCAATGTGCTCACCAGAGAGAGAGTGGGAGAGAGGGAAAGTGAGAGAGCAGGTCACCAGGCCCAGACTTGAGCAGTGGTTGTCCATATGGGAGACCACCATGCTACCTGCTGGTCCCTGTTCTTACTGTTTTTAAGTGTACAATTCAGTAACTTACTAACATTTGCAATGCTATGCAACCATAACTGCTATTTCCAAAACATTTGTTTTATACATTAAGACTTTTAAAAAAATTATTTTAACTTTCTTTCTTTATTTGTTTTGATTTAACCAGAGAGGGACAGAGTGAGAGAGAGAGAAGGAAAGTGAGAAAGCAAGCTGCCAGTTCCAAGACTTGAACTGTGGTCTTCCATGTGGGAGTCCTGCACCTTTAACCACCACGCCACCTGTCAGCTACTCCAAAACATTTTATCTCCCCAGAGAGACATTGTGTACCCACTGAGCAATAACTCCCCATTTCCCTCTGCCAGCCTTGGTAACCTCAAATCTACTTTCTGTCTCTATGGACTTGCCTAGTCTAGATTTTTTATATAAGTGGAATTGTACATTTGCTTTTTAAAAAAATAGTGGGACCAGCAGTTAGCATAATGGCTATGTTGCTGGACTCCCATGTAGCCAACTGCAGTTCGAGTCCTGGACCCGGTGGCTTAAACTCACTCCGGACGCGTGTGTGTGCGTATGTGCCCAAGATCTGGAGAGGAGAACGGAGGAGAAGGGGTTGCAGCGTGGCCATCCCCCCTGGGGGGTGATTTCTAGCTTTCTATCTCTCTGTCCCTCTCTCTGTCTGGTGAGAGCACGCGCCCTATAGCAAAAAAAAAGTTATTAAATCTTATTATTTTTTAGTCTGAACAGAGAGAGACATGGAGAGAGAGGACAAGTGAGAAAGGTCTGGGAGTCGAACTGTGGCCAGGCACGTGGGAGTCCAGCGCCTTTAACCCCAGGCCACCCGCCGGCCCATGGTTATCTTCTTTTTTAAAATTAGACTCATTTAGGAGGCTTGGAGTGGTATCTCATTGTTGTTTTGTTTTGTTTTTAAAGAATTATGTATTTATCTAATTCCACTTATTATTATTATTTTTTTAATTTGACCAGACAGAGAGAAAGGGAAAACAATAAAGCAAGCCGCCAGGTCTGGGACTCGAACTGCAGTCAGCCATTTGGGAATCCAGCACCCTTAACCATCACACCACGCGCTGGCTCCTAGTTACCTACTTTTTAAAAAATTACAGTAATTTACTAGGTTTGAAGTGGTATCTCTGTTTTGTTTTTGTTTTTGTTTTTTTAAGAATTATTTATTGGAACCAGCAGTTAGTGTAATGGCTATTCGCTGGACTCCCATGTAGCCGACTGTGGTTTGAGTCCTGGACCCGGTGGCTTAAACTCACGCCTGGCGCGTGTGCGTGTGTGCCCAAGATCCCGAGAGGAGAATGGAGGAGAAGGGATTGCGGTGTGGCCATCCCCCTGGGGGGTGATGTCTCACTTTCTGTCTCCCTGTCTCTCTCTGTCTTTCTGGCGAGCGCATACGCCCTATAACAAAAACCTCTCCAAAAAATAAAAAAGAATTATTTATTTACTTCCATTTGCTATTATTATTTTTTAATTTGACCAGACAGAGAGAGAGAGAAAGGGAAAGCAAGAAAGCAAGCCACTAAGTTCAGGACTCAAAGCACATTCGCCCTTGGGGGAATCCAGCGCCCTTAACCACCATACCACCTGCGGCCCCTCATTGTGGCTTTGTTTTGCATTGCCTTAATGACTGTCCATGCTGAGCATCTTTTCATATGCTTTCTGGTCATTTTCAGATTGTCTTTGAAGAAATGTTTATGCAAGCCCTTTGGCCTTTAATTTTATTTTAGGTTTTTGCCATAGGGTGAGCGTTTGTTGGCAAAGGACAGAGAGTCAGAGAGAGGGAAAGTAAGAAATCACTCCCCAGGGGTGATGGGCACACCACAATCCCTCCTCCTCCTCCGTTCTCTTACTGGGATTTTGGACGTGCACGTACATGTGCCTGGTGTGATTTTCAGGCCACTGCGGTCAGGACTCAGACCACAGTCAGCCAAGGGTCTGGCACCTTAACCACTGCACCGTCTGCTCGTCCCTTCCTTCGCCCATTTTTTTTTTCTTTTTTGAGAGGTTTTCACTGTAGGGCGCGTGCGCTCGCCAGACAGACAGAGACAGAGAGACAGAAAGCGAGAAATCACCCCCCAGGGGGGATGGCCACGCCGCAATCCCTTCTCCTCCATTCTCCTCTCGGGATCTTGGGCACCCATGCACACGCGCCCGGCGTGAGTTTTAAGCCTCCGGGACGCGAACCACGGTCGACCACGTGGGAGTCCAGCGACATAGCCATTACGCTAACTGCTGGTTCCCTCCTTTGCCCATTTTTATAGTGGGCTGTCTTTCTGTTGTTTAGTTGTAGTAGTTGTTTGTATGTTCTAGATATTAAAACTCATCAGATTTGTGATTTGCAACGATTTCCCCCCATTTTGTAAGTTGTCTTTTCATTTTGTGACATCTTTTGATGTACCAAAGCTTTTAATTTTGATGAAGTGCCATTTATTTATTTTTTCTTTTGTTGCTTATATGTTCGGTGCAATATTTAAGGGCCTATTGCCAGATTCAAGGTCATGAAGATTTACTCCTCTGTTTTTATTTTTCTAAGAGTTTCCTGAAACTTTATGAAAGCTCTTATATTCAGGTTGTTGGTCCATTTTGAGTTCATCTTGTGTATGGTGCGAAGTAAGGGTTCAACTTTATTCTTTGTGCACGTGGAAATCCATTCATTCCGGGACCATTGTTGACAAGCATCAACAAACAGGACGACTTGGCTTTCCTGTTGAACATCAGTTGGTCACTGTATTACTTTTCTAGGGATAGTGTAACAAAGTATAAAAACCTGCACAACTCTAAATACTGTAAATGTGGGATCGGCAGGTGGCATGGTGGTTAAGGCATTAAGCTCCCACGTAGCCAACTGTGGTTCAAGTCCTATACTTGGTGGCTTCCTTTCTCACTTTCCCTCTCTCTCTCTGGTCAAATTTTAAAAAGAAGTAGTAATGATAAATAAAATCAAATGATTTTAAAAATAACATAAATGTGGGACCAGCAGTTGGCGTAATGGCCATGTCGCTGGACTCCCATATAGTCGACCACGGTTCAAGTCTTGGACCTGGTGGCTTAAACTCATGCTGGGTGAATGTGTGTGTGTGCCCAAGACCCTGAGAGGAGAATGGAGGAGAAGGGATTGCAGTGTGGCCATCCCCCTGGGGGGTGATTTCTCATTTTCTGTCTCTCTGGCAAGTGCACACACCCTATAACAAAAATCTTTTTTTAAAGAATTATTTTAACTTTATTATTATTATTTTCCAATTTGACCAGAGAGAGACAGAGAGGAAAAGTAAAAAAGGAAGCCACCAGGTCCAGGACTTGAACCATGGTTGGCCATGTGGGAGTCCAGCATCTTTAACCGCCACCCCACCTGCCAGTGGGGGTCCAGCATCTTTAACCGCCACCCCACCTGCCATCCAACAAAAATCTCTCTTAAAGAAAAAAAAAAATCTCTGCTTTCATCTTCCCTGTGTGTGTCTCTGCCAACCCCCCTGCCCCCTTTTGTAGAGGGCACATGCACTTACCAGAGAGAGGGCGAGGAGAAAGCATTGCCCCTCCATGGGCATTCATGCTGCAATCGCCTCTCTTCCACCTCTCCCTCCTCTAAGGATTCTGGGCGTGCACACATACGCACCCAGCGTGTTTCTCAAGCCACTGGGTCCTGGACTCCACCTGCATAGCCAGCCATGGGGGATCCGGCCACCTTAGCCTCTAAGAAACGGTCCAAGCATTTTTTGGGGGGTGCTATATAGTTTAACTCACAACACTCACAGATTCCTGAGTTCATTTCTAGACTTTCAAGTCTGTGATGCTGCTCTATATACCTACCCTAACCCAGCACACACTGTGTGGATTACTGTAACTTTGTAGCAAATTTTTATATTGGGACGTGTAGGTTCTCTGATCTTGTTATTTTTCAGATTGTTTTGGTTACTCAGGGTCTCCTACAGTTCCACATGAACTTGAAGATTAGATTTTCCATGTCTCAGAAATGGTTGTGCGAATTTACATAGGGATTTCATCGAATCTGTAGCTGGCTTTGGGTATTATTGATATATTAACAGTTTTCCTAACCATAAACACAAGATACCTTTCCATTTATTTATGTCCTCCTCAATTTTTTAACTAATGTTTTATAGTTCTCAGTGTATTGGTCTTTTACATCTTTGGTTAAATTTAGTAAGGGGTTATTTTTTGTGTTTTATTTTATTATTTTATAGCTCTGGTAAATGATATTAGTCACTGGCCAGTAGTTAAGCACTGTGCATTAGGACCTAGATCCTAGTACAGTAGTTAAGCACTGTGCATTGGGACCTACATCCTATGTGGTCAAGTGCAGTTTGTATTCTGAACACAGTACCTTACATGGGAGTCCAGCAATATGGCAATTACGCCAACTGCTGGTGCCTGTGTTTTATAGTTTTTAGTGTACAAGTTTTTCACCTTTTTAATTAGTTTTATTCCTAGCTGCTCTTTTATTTTTAGGTGCTGTTATCAATGGAACTGCTTTCTTGATTTCCCTAGCTGACTGTTTACTGCAGGTGTAGAGGCACACAACTGATTTTGTGCACTGACATGCCCAGCGGCTTGGCTGAATTCCTTTATTAGCTCTAGCAGTTTGCTCGTGTGATTGCTGAGATCTTCTGTATGTAGACCATGTCATCTGTAAGAGATATTTACTTTTTCCCTCCCATTTCGGATGTCTTTTCCTTTTTTTTTTGTTCTTTATTCATAATAGTGTGTGCACGAGAGAGAGGGGGAGAGAGAGGGAGAGAGAGAGATGGACCCTCCACAGGGCCTGGCTGCAGTTCCCCTTCCTGAAGTGCTCCAGCCCTTTGGATCCTGGGTGTTCCTGTGTGTACCCAGCATGCTTCAGGCTGGCATGTGCACTTGCCAAGAGAGAGAGAGAGAGAGAGAGAGAGAGAGAGAGAGAAGCTCTTCATGGGGTGGGTCATGCTGCAATCCCTCCCCCATTTTTTCCATCCTGTGAGGATTATAGGCATGCATGTACTCTTGCTGGGTGTGGCTTTTTTTTTAGGGGCTGGCAGGTAGCGTGGTGGTTAAGGGCACTGGACTCCCACATGGCCGACTGTGGTTTGAGTCCTGGACCTGGCGGCTTGCTTTCTTTCTCTCTCTCACACTCTATCCCTCTCTGGTCAAATTGAAATAAATGAATGAATGAATGAATAAAGTTAAATAATATAATTTTCAAAAAAGAATGATTAATTTTTTAAAAATTTGACCAGAGAGAGAGGGATTGGGGGGAGAGAGAAAGCAAGCCATTAGGTCCAGGACTCAAACTATGGTTGGCCATGTGGGAGTGTCCAACACCTTAACCACCATGCCACCTCTGTTCCAACTGGGTGTTTTTCAAGCTGCCGGGGCTGACATTGGAACGGTGGTCAGCCATGTGTTATCTGGTCCCAGTGCACAGACCTTAGCCACTGCATTGTGAGGTT